ATCACACACTTGATTTATACTGGTTCGGATCAAAAGACCCTACGTCCAGTTGTTAATCACTCTAAAAGAGGATTAACGTTGTCACTTTCATCACAGTTTACAACGGATTACAAATTGCAGTTGATTTATACTGGTTCGGATCAAAAGACCCTACGTCCAGTTGTTAATCATTCTAAAAGAGGATTAACATTGTCACTATAATCACAATTTACAACGGATTACAAATTGCAAAAGATAAGGATTAGAAAACACCTCTCTTGAGTCACACAAGAGATGAACACCTCCTTTGAATCCACAAAGGAGGAACGACAACTTTTCCTAGAGACGGCACAACACACAATCCACCAAGAAACCCACTCAGTGATTCTTAACGCTTCTAGCCCACACTAGGTTTTCAAAAGCCCCTTTTTCTTCCCTACACAAAGTTCTCTAACAATCACAGCTCTTAAATTTTGTATGAAAAAGGTTATTTGTTCAAAGAGCCTTAGAGAACCTTAAGTAGAGAGATTTAAGGTCTGGGAAATAGAAGTTTTCGAAAATAGGAGTATTGGAAACAGGTGCATCGAAAATAGGTCCAAATTCGAAATTCAAAAATCATAACAGACGTAGGTAATCAATTATCTTAAGTGATAATCGATTATCACAGAGCCATTTTCGCAGAGGAGTAAACTGGACCAGGATAATCGATTATCCTCTGAGATAATCGATTATTCAAGAGTTTTCAAAAACCAAAAACAACTGGGATAATCAATTATCAATCCACATAATCGATTATTCCAGCAAGCTTTTCAGAAAACAAGTTTCAAGTAGGATAATCGATTATCCTGAGTGATAATCGATTATCACAGAGTGGTTTTGATAAAAATGAACTTTCAAAGGAAGAACTATGTGTTGGCTATCTTGGACTCTAAAGTCTTTGATAAACAGAGTTATTACAAATAAATACAAATGATTATAAGTATTCAAGACTTCAAGTCCTTAGTTCTTGAATCATCATCAAAATCTTCAAGCATCATATCCTTGTATGTTCAACAATCTCCCCCTTTTTGATGATGATTTAAAGCCCTTTATAATAACCTGTTTTTACTGTCACAACTAACAAAAATATTAAACATACTAGGCTTTAAATATTTTCTCCCCCTATTTTTATCATAATCAAAAGAAATTAAAGCTCCCCCTCAACATGTGCATAAGAAATTAAAACTCTCCCTTAAAATGTGCAACATATAAACACAAGTTGATATAAAATGTACAACATATAAAATAGATATTTTATTTAAGTTTGAGCAAAGCAATACAACATATAAACAGAAATTCCTAAGGCTAGAATTCTAAAATTTTTCACTGTCCGAGTTAAATTGCATATCAAATTTGTCTTCCAGATTTGATACACGTTCATCCACATCCAAAATTCGATTTATAACTTCTTGATGACGTTCAGCGGAGATTGAGAAGAAATCTTGCATTTGTTGGTTCATGCTGACGAGCATATCCTCAATAGAGGAGTGGGGATTGTCGCCGCCGTCAGAAGAGGCGGTCGGAGCGACGCGATGGTTTTTATATGACTCGCGTTTTCTTTGAAAGAAACGGTTCAACGTCTTTAGGTCGCCCGATAACCGGGCTAGACCTAAAGGCGAGGTTTTCAAATAGGTTCGAGGAGTCGCCATCAGTGTTTTAACCTTAAACACTGAAAAAGGTAAAAAAGAAAAAGGTAGTGGTTTAGAAAAAACCAACTTTGGCCATTACAACCAGAGTCGGGTAAGGGAGTTAGTTACGTGTGGGGAAGGTGTTAACACCCCCACAATGCCCCTTTTGGGTTCCCTATGATGGACTAACTTAGAAAATAAACACTTAAAGAAATTACATTTTTACCCTATTATTTGATCTACTTGCAGAATTTAAATATCTACATGGATCTATTATCTAATGCACACAAAGAAAGCGATAAAGAAAGCAGTAAAAAAGACATAGAATAGAGAAGGAACCTCCGAAGCGAGCTTTATATTAACTCTTCTAAAACGTGAGGATGCTTTTTGGCAGTCCCCACACTCTACAAGCACGCTCCTCCCCGCAAAATAAAGACAAATCACTCTACCGAGGGCCGAATGCCTCAAAAAGAGACCTCCTTAACCGATTTCAACCTTAACGGAAATCGAAAAGCTCCCTCGAACCCCGGAATAATGCTCAGGGTCACTCTCGAGCGCCAAAAAGCTTCCAAGAGAGTGGAGGAGTGGAAAAGGTGTGAAAATTCGGAGGAATGAGGCCCCTATTTATAGGGATTCGGGCCTGGAAAAGGTGGACGGCCGTCTGGACAAAGCAGACGACCATCCAGGGCAAAAAGTGACCATGGATGGTCGTCCATTCACTGTGGACGGTCGTCCATGGCAACTTTTGGCCATGGACGGCCGTCCAAGCTAAGTGGACGGCCATCCATGGCCTTAAAGTTGCCATGGACGGCCGTCTGGTTGTCCTGGACGGCCGTCTGCCTATTCTGGATGGCCATCCGCCTGTTCTGGACGGCCATCTGCTGTCTCCGGTGGATTTCCCGATTTTTAATGCCTCTAAAAACCCTTCCTATCCTAAATGGAACCTAGAACAAGCTACTAGGGACTTGATAAAGTCTTAACCATCTTCGAAACGGGCGATCTTCAACTTTATTAGGAGTCCGGGCAAGATTTGGGATCTACAGTTGCCCCCCCTTTACCCGACCAATTGACCATGGGTTAACGAACCATGAGGTCAATTGGCGGGTGAAGGAGTTAACCATCTTGCCCGGTTGTCTTCTGGATGCTCCTCTTGCTGTGGAGGCTGACCCTTCGGACGATATGCTGTGAGGCTTCAGGATGCTCCTTTGGTGCGGTAGATGACCCTTAGGCTGACATGTAGAGAATTTTGGGATGCTCCTTCGATGCGGTAGCTGACCCCTCGGTTGATGAGTATGAACCCCCATCAAGTTAGATGCCTTAGGATGCTCCTTCGATGCGGTAGCTGACCCTTTGGCTGTGGTGGCGGCTTACTGCTTCTAGTCATGCGCCGGCTTTGCCTGTGTGCAGGCCTTCGTCTTTAGGTCTTTCCGTTTCCTGAAGAGGTGGTGGCGGCTTACTGTTTCTGATCATGCACCGGTTTTGCCTGTGTGCAGGTCTTCGTCTTCAGGTCTTTCGTTTCCTGAAGAGGTGGTGGCGGCTTACTGTTTTTGATCATGCGCCGGCTCCATGGGGAGTAGTTGTTCTTGACTCTTGTGTAGTCATTCGGTATGCCGGGGATTCTTCACTTTTGGCTTTTTGTTTAGTCGTCCAGCTTCTTGACTGCTGGGGATTCTTGATGAATGCCTACTAGGCAGGAATCCATTGGGGATTTGACCTTTTTGTTGGTTGTGGTAGTTGGAATACTTGCTTAATTTCTCATTTTTCCGCGGTTTTATTCCTCTTTCTGATTTGGAATTTTGGCATTTTTGGAATGATGCATGTGCCTTTTAATTTTCTTAGTTTCTTCTGTGCATGTTGGCTTTTGTACAGAGAGGCCATCAGACGAAAACATAAAGTCTCATTTTATTTATTTTGCGGAAAATTAAAGTACAATAGGAGATTTTATAAAGATCTCAGCTCTCCGGCTCTGAGCTGGATGCTGAGAATGGTGATGGCGAAGGGAGTCGGCGGACTACGCGGTGCTAGAATTCTTCCTGGCTTCGGATCATGCCGTGTAGGTCCTGGCCCATTGTGTCCATTCTCTGCATGAGGTCGTCTATCCTCAGGCTAAGGCTTTCCCGCGCTTGCTCATAGCCCTGCTGCCTCAAGGATAATTGATCGATCTATTGGCACAGGTGTTGGTACTACCTTTCCGAGTGGGACCTGTCATCTCTCATGTGCCGGTGCAGGCTGGCGAGGTTATCTTCGTACTGCGCCTGTTGTTGTTGGGATCTTGGAGGGACGGGCGTCTCTTGTGATTCTGAAGCGTCCATCTCATGGATGTCGAATGTCATAGCAAGGATGGGGTGTATGACCCAGGAGGTGCCATGACGGGTGAGCATGCTCATATGAGCAAGTATCGGACCATCTATGAGTTCCGGTTGCAGGGCAGCGGGGATGTCTTCTCCATCAGTGCATCCCCAGTACTCAGCTAGAGGGGTGATAAGAGGGCCTACCATGATGGATCTTGCAGGGCCTCACGTCCCAAAGTCCTTCAGGACCTTCATGAAAAGGTAGCCTAGGTTGCATTGGATCCCTTGATGCATGCAGTAGATGACAAAGAGGTCCGCCTGAGTGACCTTACCTTGACTTTCCTTCTGGCTATGAAGGGTGTCTGCTAGCAACTTATGACAAATGCGGAGAGGTGGGAGAAAGGCAATCCCTTTTGGATTGGCGGGAACGTGCTGGGAGCCGGTGACCTCCTCCCATATCTGACTGGTGGTGAGGGTAGCTGGCCTTTCACAAAATGCCCCCCTGTATTCCGGAGTCTGGATCTCTGCGGGCTGGTAGAACCCCATGAGGACGTTGAAGTTGTCTATGACATTAGTCCGGTAAGCCCCATTCATCCAATAGGTGACTGCTGGGACAGGCGGAAGTCCGGGGATCATAGATGGTAGATCTATGAGTGTGACCGAAGCAAGGAATTCCAGTGTGGCCGTGCGATGGATGTGGGTAGGTGGATCTTTGAGCAGGAAGTCCCACCCTATGCCTTGGATGTATCTCCTTACATCCTAATCCCAACCAAACATGGCTAGGATGTTGAAGTCCAACCAAAGCATAGGGTGCCAAACATACTGGCTGATATTGGCGAACCTAGCCTGGTGCTGCTCGGTTAGTTGAGTGGGAACCTGAGGAGGAGGGATGCTCCTTATGGGTCCCCGGGAGCACTTCTGGCATGTAGACGACTCTCCACGATCCATTACTCAACCAAGAACACTCAAAATATGCAGAGAGAGGTGTAAGAGGAAGGGAGAATGCGAGAATGAGGTGCCATGAGCCATTTGGGGAGCCTAAATTTATAGGCAACAAAAACAGGGGTGGACGGCCGTCTGCTCTAAGTGGACGGTCGTCTGCCCCTAACGGTTACCCATGGATGGCCGTCTCGCATGGGTGGACGGCCGTCTGCCCCCAACGGAAACCTCTGAACGGCCGTCTGGCAAGGGTGGATGGCCGTCTAGCCCCAACGGCCCCTTCTGGACGGCCATCTGCTCCTATTTTTTGTTTTTTCTTTTGTTTATGATTTTTGAAGGAAATAGGACCTTATTCATCAACATCTATGCATGTAATGTTCATGATATGCAACTTATAATGCTATTTAAATTAATTACTTTCAGAAAAGTTAACTGATGTACTCTTGACGGAGAGATTCTTCTGGTGCTATCTTCAGCTGTACCATTTCTGCCGTTTTGGATTTGCCTTAACCGAAGAATGATCGTGTTGAAGAGCTATTTCGTCATACTAGTGTGCTTCTTCTCTATTTTGGAATTTCAATCCTCCTATTGATTACTGTGCTTTCATATTACCTGATTAATCGCTAGAATATCATAGTGATAAGGGTCAAGAGAAAAGAAGGAAAAGGATGATGAAATCAAAGGTTTGTGTTTTTAGAGGGGATTTCTTGAAACCAATGGTATCTGTAAGCACGACTAGCCAAGGTTAGTCAAACTGTTTAGGCTTAGCTTAAACAAATGTTTGTTTGCGGGGTTGCGTCTTTGCTTGGTGAGCTTTACGGCGCTTGTTAAGACTGATTGTCTTTCCTAGACCGCCCTTCGGGTTTTCATTCTAGGATGTTGTGTTTCGTCCTAACTTTTGTTGGGGGTTTCTTTTTATTATGCTTTAGAAACCTTGACGGACTCTGTTTTGTAACCCTATCTTTTGCCTAAGCTACCCTTTATTATTGGTCGGGTTTCCTAGCGGGTCGACCCTAACTTTTGCGTAGCCCCCTTTTATGGGTTTCCTACCGGGTTAGATGCCCTTTCTTTTTGGCCTTTGGCTTTTATGGGCTTTCTTATTATTTTCGCAATGTTGGCAAGACACGATTTCACTATGATGGGGTAAAACCTTATTCGTGTTCCTTATCAATCAATGATGGTTTATTTGTTTCTTTACTGTTGGTGCGCTTTCAAGCTTTTAGACGCTTTTTAGAAACATTTGCTTAAGCGTGGTTATTAATGAGGCGTAGACATGAGTAGTAAGAAAAGAAGCAGATAGTAAGAAATCCATTCTCATATGATTAAAAGGGTAATATGTGCCTTGAAAATGACTGGGGGTCGGGCTGCCCCCGGAGAATAATCTTTAATAGTCATTGGGTTTACATTCCTTAAAAAATGGAAGAAGAACACCTAATGACTAAAGTTGCTCCTGACGCCTGTATCCCTCCGCTTCGGAAGATCTGATTCAGCGGGCAGAGGGGAGACTTTCCCTTTATTATTGTATTTGGGTTGTACGCTAGACCGCGTTTCAAAGGATTGTCCTTGAAATTTGGTGGCTCTCTTATTCCTTGGGAATTTGCACCGAGTCCCTGGCCTGGGCGGTAACCGTACTTTGTCAACCAGTGTCCACAATTCCAGGCACCAAACAATACAAAAAGAATGTAAAGAATTGAAAAGAAGAAACTAGAATGCTCAAACCAGTTTTATGCAATTCTGCAGTGTGTTTCTTCTTCAAAAGAAAGCAATTTGCCTCAAGAAAGAATTTCAAAGAACTTCACAAAAAACTGGCGCGAATCTTTCTTGAAAGAGTGCTAAAGTTTGCTTGCTTGATTGCTAAAAATTGATGTTCAATGTTATTTTTGAAATGTTCAAGCCAAACTGTTTTTATAGAAGATTTTCAAAACTGTTGGTTTAATCAATCTGTTAAAAAATCATTTAATCTGTTAAAAGTGTAGTTTTAATCTGTTAAAACTTCTTTTAATCCATTAAAGCGTTCTTGATTATTTAACAGATTTGTTTTAACTGATACGACAACGTTTGTATCAATTAAAACTCTTTACAAAAAATCTTCTAATTTGATTTAATCGATTGTTTCGTGTTTCAATCGATTAATATACTGCAAAACTTTATTGTAAAATTTTCAAAGTGATTTTAACTGATAAAAATAAGTTTTAATCGATTAAAACGCTGTGTAGAAATTTTCTAAGTTGTTTTAATCGATTGAAACATGTTTTAATCGATTGAAAAAGCTCTGATCGGTCATAACTCAATTCTGATCGATCATATCTGATTCTGATCGGTCATAACTCAGTTCTGATTGATTATATCTGATTGTGATTGGTCATAATTGCATTCTGATCGATCATCCTGAATGTTAAGTGGATTTAATCGATTAAAACCAAGTTGTATCGATTAAAATACTGCAAAAACACTTCTCTTAACATTTTAAGTGATTTTAATCGGTTATGTCGAAGCTTTATCAATTAAAACACTGACAGAAGGTTTTCAAAACTTTCTTTAATGAAAACAACTGGTTATTTCGAAATTATATCAGTTAAAAACTTGTTTAAAAAAGCTTTTGTTAAAATACTTTGTTTTTAACTGCTTAAACGGTTTTTAGAGGCATTTTGCAAAATCTTTTAAGTGAAGAAACCTCATGCAGCAGAAAAGATAAAAATGATTATACCTAAGCATAGCTGCGAACACACTAATCTCTCTATTCTTTTATCTAAGTGACTGTTGACCGCTACAAAGTTGACTTTGACTTTATCTTTGACTTCATCAAATCAACAGGATCTTTGTCAGAGTATTTCAATAAGATCTTCATCACTTTCAGTCTCCCCCTATTTGATGAAGACAAACACCACTTTGAATAATAACTCTGCAAAAGAAGTCACTTGATAAAACAGATTAGTGAGTAATAAAGAAATGAATTATTTTCCTATTTCTCCCCCTAAATTGTTGCTTCCTAAATAAAGAATTATTTATGATCAAAAGTAAAGCAACTAAAGCAACTATTCTCCCCTTTTGACTTCATAAAAAAAAATAGGGAACAGAAGAGAAACAATGCAAATGTATGTAATAAGTTTGAGATTTTGAAAATTGAGAAAAAAATGAATACGATATCTTACTCATGTAAAGATCAATCAAAGTTGATTCAAACTTATCTTCATTAACACGTTTGTAATGAATACAATTAACACGTGTAAAGATAAGGGAATCACGCTTTAGTAGCATGTTACAAGAACAACCATTAACTAAAACCTTTAATTTTTCTTTCCAGAATAAAAATCGATTAAAATAGGACAAAATCGATTAAAAAGTTCTTGTTTAATGATTTTAATCGATTAAAATAAAGGTTTAATCGATTAAAACAGTGAAGGACTTCGAAAGTATGAAACATAAGTGCATTTAATCGATTAATTCGATATTTAATCGATTAAAACAGTAAAGAAAAATGTTGTATAAATTCTTTTAATCGATTTAAAAGATTTTTTATTGATTAAAACAACCAGATTTGCAAACTAAGTAATGTTTTATGCGAATTTATCATGCCTAATCCAGTGTAAGTTTTGAAAAACCGATCATTTACAAAGATGCTTTACAATAATATCAACTACATCGATTAAATTTTAACCAATAGATCCATCAAAATTAGAATAAAATCTTATTTAGCTAAGTTAACTGATGTAAACTGGTTTATATAGATTTTAATCGATTGATACGCAGTTTAATCGATTATTTTGTCGTGAAAGTGTTTCCTTTAATCGATTAAGTCTATTCTGTATCAGCTAAAAGTATCAGGGATCTATGTTAAATTCTATCTAGGCTAGTTTGATTCGATTTTAAACCTACATTATATTAACCAAAGCTAAAAATATTGTACCTGGTATACAACCAGTAAATATTACAGACCAGAAATTGAAATTAGCATCAAAATAAGAAATAAAAGAAAGATAAGAAGGGACCCTTTTAATCCATAAAATCAATCATCCCAGTTGCCTTGGTTCCACAATAACATCTGAAACTCCTTTAGAATTATTGAAAGATCCTCTTGTTGGTTTGTTGTTAAGGATGACAGATCATCAGTATAAAATTGATCCCTGTACTGCCAATAAACACACATACTCTGTGCCAATTTTAGCTTTCCATTCAATTCTTGAATTTCTGTCTCAGATTTGTCTCCTTACAATATCACCTCGTGACCTTGATGATTAAAACGAATTATCAAAGTTGCACAATTCCAATGAATTTCAATGCATGCCCAAAATTATTCCAAATGTATTACTAGGTAATACAAAGAAATTTAATGTAAACGTGTGTTCATTGAATCTCCAAGTTATCTGTTCGCACTTCCTAGTAATCAACAACTTATTATCAGAAGCAACCATTACTGAAAAATCCTTGATAAACTATGTTTTCAGTTCCAACAACTTGACCCATTTGTCACTAATGAAATTATGTGTACTCCCAGAGTCTATAAGGAAAGGGACAGTCTACTTCTTGATAATTCCTTTGATTTGTAATGTATTACCACCCAGCATTCGATGTAAAGTATTAAGAGAAATGTAGACACCTGCAGCTTGAATCATGTCTATGTTGTTGTCAAAATATAGTTTGTTCTTCCTCAAAGTCCATGACTTACACTATATCGGCCTCAATTTCTTCCTGGGCAAAGAAGATAGTGTTTGGCTTACCCCAAACTTTACATTTCAACTTATGATTTTTATCTAATTTGTCACCACATAACCTACATAATCCCTTTGTAAACATGTCAGTAACTTCCTTTCTAAATATGGAAGTTGAGGTGCTACCTTTCGAATCGGTAGTTTCTGAAAACACCTAAAGCTTCAAACTGATTGTAGAATGACTCTGCTACAAATTAACCGGAGTTGACCTTGTTTGTGTTTCCGAATTGGACTCTTGTTTGCAGCAATTTATTTTTCGAAAACTTTTAAAATTCCCTTTTGAAGTCTTGCAAGATGCATACCTTCTTGCAGAGACTGTGGTTTATGAATTCTCACAGATTTTTCCAGTTTAGTTTTCATACCTAACAAAGAAAAACTTAATGTCATTAACTCAGATAACTACATGAGCCAAAAAAAAACATAAACTTCCAAATATTCTCCCAAATCTTCCTCTTGTTGCAATCTTGATAATTCAACAATATCCTCAAAAGCACGATCATCAAATCGATATGACATATCTTGTGATATTTGTTCCCAAGATTTATTCTTGAAACTGGGTTGATGCATGCAATGTCGCTGCCATGAAAAAGCCTTTCCATCCATGGATAACAGCAATAACT